TCCAGCCCCCTCCCTTGCTGCATGTCCCCCTCAGGTTTAGTGGTTTGAGCAGCAGACTCTGCAGTGGCGTGTGAAGCGCTCCTTAGTGGCACCCACAGACCCCTGGTTCTCCAAGCAGTGGTACATGGTGAGCGGGCTGGGCCAGGTGGTCGGGCCAGGCCAGGCCAGAGCCCTACTAACTCTAGCCCCCACCTGGCATAGAACAACAAGATGCAGCCGGATCTAAACATCCTGAAAGTCTGGAACCAGGGGCTGTCAGGCCAGGGCATCGTGGTCTCTGTCCTGGACGATGGCATTGAGAAGGACCACCCAGACCTCTGGGCCAACTATGTGAGCTTGAGTTGAACTGGGGCGGGGGCTGCCCCTCCTCCCCCGGTCCCATGGCCTGCTCCAACCCCCTCACATCCCCACCTTACCCTTAGGATCCCCTGGCCAGCTATGACTTCAACGACTATGACCCAGACCCCCAACCACGATACACTCCCAGTGATGAGAACCGGTGAGCCTGGGGGTCTGGGGGTGGCCCTTGTGCCCTGTGCGGGCCAGGTGAGCTGTGACAGACACTCCTCTCTGCCCTGACACCAGGCACGGGACTCGCTGTGCTGGGGAAGTAGCAGCCATAGCTAACAACAGGTTCTGTGGTACAGGTGTCGCCTACAACGCCCGAATTGGAGGTACTCCGATGCGCCAAGGATAGGGGCTGGATGAGGTGGCACTGGGTGGCTGGTAACACCAGGGAGATTTGGCAGGTCAACCAGGGGAGGAAACTTCTTGGTGCCCTCACCTTTGTTGCTTAGACTCGGGGTGTGGAGAGCTGAGCCTGCACAGATGCCTCCACCCCCAGGAGCAGAGAGAGGGGCTGGCTAGGGTGTTTGGAGCTGGCCTGGATGGGTGAGGGCGCCGGCAGGGCTGTCTGCAGAGGACCGACAGCTGCCTGTGCAGGCGTGCGCATGCTGGATGGCACCATTACTGATGTCATTGAGGCCCAGTCACTGAGCCTGCAGCCGCAGCACATCCACATCTACAGTGCCAGCTGGGGCCCCGAGGACGATGGCCAAACGGTGGACGGTCCAGGCATCCTCACCCGAGAAGCTTTCAGGCGTGGCGTCACCAAAGTGAGCAGGATCTAGGGTTTTGGAGGGCCTGTGCCTGCATGAAAGGCTGACACCCCCACCCCCTGTCCTGTCCCCATCTGCAGGGCCGAGGTGGGCTAGGCACGCTCTTCATCTGGGCGTCTGGCAATGGCGGCCTGCACTATGACAACTGCAACTGTGACGGCTACACCAACAGCATCCACACTCTCTCTGTGGGCAGCACCACGCAGCAGGGCCATGTGCCTTGGTACAGTGAAGCCTGCGCCTCCACTCTCACCACCACCTACAGCAGTGGCCTTGTCACCGACCCCCAAATTGTGAGTGGACCCCTTCACCATGCTCACTCTGTCTGGCCCAGCCTGGTCCCCTCACCTTCCCTCTTGTCTCCCCACCTTCCCTCCAGTCCCCATGTCTTCCCTCCTATCCTCCCAACTTCCCTCCAGCCCCCTCTACCCCAGTCCCTGCCTTCCCTCCTATCCCCCCCATTCCCTCACCTTCTCTCCTGTTCCCCCACCTTCCCTCCTGGGTCCCCATCCTCCCTCCTGTCCCCCCACATTCTTTCCTTTCCCTTCTGCTCCCTTATCTTCCTTCCTCTCAGGGATTGCTCCTGCGGTGCTGGAACATAGACATGGGTCCCAGGCCCCATCCCACTGTTGCCACTTCACA